TGAGTTGCACCCGACTCATAGCCCCCTTCTTGGGTTTCCGAGGCAGTATCGCTATGAAGTAGATTGCCCCATCTTCCTTCTGAGGAGTGGCTGATGGGTTTGAACTGCCAGCCTTCTGGTTATCAGTCAAGTGCCTTAGCCACTATGCTACCAGAGCTCCTCTACACAGACACTAGGATAGCCATAATGGGGGTGGGGGGAATGTATGTGGATGGGAGATAACATGTATTGATGAAGATGTGGAGAAACTGGAGTCCTTGTGCATTGCTGGTGGGAATGTAAAATGGTGCATCTAATGTGGAAAACTTTGATGCTTCCTCACAAGGATAAACATAGAGTTAATTCCTCTCTTAGGTATATACCCCAAAGACTTGAAAAGAGAGACTCAGATACTTGTATGCAAATGTTAATTGCAGCATTATTCACAGTAGCCAAAAGGAGGACAAAACCCAAATGTCCATCAACAGATGGATAGATAAACAGAATTGGTGCATGAGTACACTGGAGTATTACTCAGCCATAAAAAGAATGTTCTGACATGGATGAACAGTGAAAACATGCTAAGTGAAAGAAACTATACAAGACAGGTATTGTGTTATTCTACTTGAGCTCTGTATTGTCAGTTGCCATGGAGTCAGTCCGATTCATGACAGCCTTAAACATTTAACAGAACAAAATGTTGCCTGCTCCTGCACCACCTTCATATCATTGGTTTCTCAGTTCTCTAGTGCTGCTATAACAAAAATACAAGTGGGTGGCTTTAACAAATAAATTTATTCTCTTACAGTTTAGGAGGCTAGATGTCCAAATTCTGAGTGCCAGCTGTAGGGGAAGACAAGGCTAGAAGTCCGAGTTCAGAGTGCCAGCTTAGGGGCTGAGTGGAGGCTTCTCAGCCTTGGGCTTCAGTTTTGCCTCTTGTTCCATGCCCATTGGAGCAAGCTCAGGGTTCTCCTGACTCATTAAGCTGCTTGCTGCTGAGGCTGATGACTGCAAGATCAGCAGGTAAAATGGCAGATTGTTGGTTCACAGGCTGCCAAGGCAACAATCTAAGATTGGCAGGCAACACAGTAGGCCACTGGTTCAAGTCCTGGAACTGGAGATGATGAATCAGCCAAATGCAGGATCCCAAACTGAGCAAAAAGCTAGAGACCTTTTCCAAAGCTTCTCTGTATATACTGGAGTCAGGCCACATCCTGAAGGCAGCTCCCCTTCAACTGATTAGCTCACAGCAGATTCCACCATGGAGGTGATTACACCACATCCAATAAACTTAATACCACAGTTGGTATGTTTGAGTCCATTGTTATGGCTGTTTGTGAGTCCATCTGATTGAGTCTCCCTTACTTTCATTGGCTACTTCACCGAGCATGATGTCCTTTTCTAGTGATTGGTCTTTCCTAACAACATGTCCAAAGTAAGCAAGTTGAAATTTTGCAATCCTTGCTTCTAAGGAATATTTTGGTTTTATTTCTTCTAAGACTGATTTGTTCTTTTGACAGTCATCATGTATTAAATACTCTTCACTAACACCACAGTTCAAACATCAATTCTGTCTTCTTTCTTCATTATCCAGCTTTCACACACATGTAAGGCAATTGAAAAGAACACCTAACACGGCTTGGGTGCACCTTAGTCATCAAAATGACATTTGCTGTTTTAAAAGTTTTTTTTTTTTAAAAAAAAGACTAAAATAGGCAAATTCATAGACACAGAAAGTTGAATAGAAGTTATCAGTGCCTGGGGGAGTTAGTACTTAATGGGTGGTACAGAGTTCATGTTTGGGATAATGAAAAAAGTTCTGGTAATTGATAGTGGGAATGATTATACAGCATCATGAATCTGTACTTATGCCACTGAATTTTACCCTTAAAAATGGCTAAAATGCAATACTTCAAATACAGAAAGTCAAATAATCCAATTAAAAAATGGGTAGAAGTCATGAATAGACACTTCACCAAGGAGGAAATTCAGGCAGCCAACAAACATATGAAGAAATGCTCACAATTATTAGCCATCAGAGAGATGCAAATCAAAACAATGAGATACCCTCTGGCCCCAACACTAGTAGCAAAGTTCAACAAGACAGAAAATAATAAATGCTGGTGAGGATGCGGAGAGATTGGGACTCTCATACAGTGCTGGTGGGACTGTAAAATGGTACAACCACTGTGGAAAGCAGTGTGGCAATTCCTTAAAAAGTTAGAATCAGAAATACCATTTGACACAGCCATTCCATTACTAGGTATGTATCTTAAAGGAGTGAGAGCCAGGAAAAAGACAGATATATGCACACCCATGTTCATCGCAGCGCTATTTACAGTAGCCAGAAGATGGAAACAACCCAGGTGCCCATCAACAGAATAATGGATAACCCAACGATGGTACATACACACAGTGGAATACTATGAAACCCTAAAGAATAACGTAGAATCTGCAAAACATCACCTAATGTGGATGAACTTGGAGGACATGATACTAAGTGAAATAAGTCGATCACAGAAGGACAAATACTGTATTAGTCAGTTATTGTAAAAAGTCAAGAAAAGGTTTATATATGGAAGGAAATTTTCTTTTTTGGTTACCTAGGGTGGGAGGGGAGGGGAGAGAACACTGTTAGATAGGTAGAGACAAGTATTGATTTGGGTGAAGAGAAGAGCAATGTACCAAATATGACTGATCAACATGGTGGCACTGAGGAAGAGGAAGGCATAGAAAGGTACATGGGAAGTACAGACAACAAAGATGAACCCTTTTGCCCATACAGTACTGCGTTGTCAGTAAAGGCAAACATGGCTATACGGGTGGATAGATGGGTGGACAGGCTGAATGATTAGGTATGTCTATGCAGGGGGGGAAGGTTGGGCAATCCTACTTCCGTAGTGATACTGCCTTGGAAACCCAAGGAGGGGTTGCTATGAGTCGGGGCCGACTCGACGGCACATAACAACAACAACAACATGCAGGGGGGAGTGTGCCTAAGACCATGTATAGGGTTGGCAAACAATGTTTCTACAAGTATATTTGTATGTTCTATAATAATGCCCAGGTATATAGTAGAGCTGACAAGGGACAAGATTGTAGTCACTTCTTGGTCACAGCCAGCTACCCAGAGGGAGTGAACAGTTGAACCTGTGGGCTCAGAATCATAGTCACATGGACATCAAGCTCAACTGGTATAACGCACTACACAAAACATTGTTCCATCTCCTACTTTGGTGAGTAGCGACTGGGATCTTAAAAGCTTGCAAGCAGCCATCTAGATGAAATGATGAGTCTCTCCTCATTCAGAGCAAAGAAGAATGAAGAAAACCAAAGATTCATGGAAACAATCCAAGCGACTGGTACACCATGTGATCCTTAGCCTATACAACTATGAGATCAGAACTAGATGGTGCCAGGCTACCATTGTCAAGAGGGGGTGTCTATGTAGGAGATCCTGGATAGAGAGGGAGAACAATGTGGAACAAAACTCAAAATCATTTGAGAAAAAAAAAAAAGAGGGACCAGGTTTGCTGGTCTGATTGAGCCTGGTGGAACCACTGAGACTGTGGCCCCTAGCTGCCCTTCAGGTCTGAAATTGAACCCACTCCCGTGGCTTCCAGCCAAACAGAAGACAAGCATATGCGCTGAACATTTACACTAGGTAAATACACTCCTTGGAGAGAACAATCATGGGAGAATAGAAGGACTGTGTATACACAGACAGCTCGGGGCAGGAGTGCACGGAGGGAATGACACAGGAAGAGGTTATGGGGAGGAAGTGGGAGGGAGCTGTTGCATTATGGTAAATTGTAATCAATGTCAGAGACAAAGTGTATGTGAACTGCTGTATGGAAAGTGAATTTGCTTTGTAAACTTTGACCCAAATCACAATTTAAAAAAATTAAAATGGTCAATTTTTTTTGTGTATTTTACCACAATTATAAAATAATAGTATAACTAAGCATAAAATTATAGATCAATAAATAATTATTTTAGCACAGTCTCATATTTTCTGAGCACTCCAGAGATTTCCCGGAGCATGGGCTAATTTTCACCTTAATTTCTTAGCTCAGGTATTCCCAGAACATTCAGGTAGCATAGGTTCAAATCATATACTCACTTTGGCTTGTGGTTGAGTTTTCAGGGAAGATTTTTCTCCCCCACCTGTTTACATATACCCAGAGCCCAGACCAAGACAAAGATGCCTCCTTGTCTTCCCTGTTCTCCATTCTAGTCCTTAGAAGGGCCTAGTTTTATGTGCTGATCATACTTCAAACTTCTCAAGTTGACAACTAACCTCCCAGGTTACTATCCCTTTCTCCCTTAGGACAACTGCTGGTTAGCTGACATGTATTTGTGTTATGATAATTTGGGTGCTTTCTGCTGTTTCTGGCTCCTGGGGAATTCCTTTACTTTGTATACTTGACTATGCATTTAAAGATACTTTCATTATATTTTATCCAGCAACCAATGTTTTCAAGTTATCTAGTACAACATACTGCCTGAAGCTAAGTATTTGTGTATTATTATTATTGTAATTTAAAAGAAATTTGCATCTTTTTAGCTAAGATTAAAGCTCTTTGAAGCATGGTGTTGTCTGGAAGTAAGTATGCTAAAATGATCATCTGTCAGCTCACTGTGGAGTCTCTGGGTGGTACAGATGATTAAGTGCTTGATGACTTGCTGAAAAGTTGGCAGTTGGAACCCACCCACAGGTGCCTTAGAAGACAGGCCTGGTGATCTCCTTTGAAAGGTCACAGCCGTGAAAACTATGGAGCAGTTCTATTCTGCCTGTGTGGGGTTACTACAAGTCAGAATCGACTCCATGGGAAGTAACAAGTTTATCACACAAGGCAAGCATTATTTGTTTTGACATAGTTCTCTGAAATTGATGGATTTTCTCTATTAATTCCTGGATCAAAGGGCTTGAACTTTCTGTACTCTTTCTTCAGAAAGGTAAATAGTATAATTTGGGTATTTTTAAAATACAAGTTGTTCTTTGCTTGATTTTCTTTCAGCCAGCAAATACTGCAAAATGTTGGTAGAAGAAGAAGGACTGCAACTTTTGTGTGATATCCAGGAACACAAGGGGGCAGATCCCCAAGCACTGCAGATTGCAACCTCCATTCTAGATGACTTCAGAATGCATTTCATGAATTATCAGAAACTCCCTCGCTGTCAAATTCCCTTAACCTAAAGGGTTTCAGAAATGCTCTCTTTTCCTCATCATTAGGCCTTGTCAGCAGTTGAATGCTGGGACTTGTTCTCATCAGAGTTTGTGAGTTAATTACTTAATGGGCCTTCTGTTATTGATTTTCTCTAAGTTATAAAAAGGTTGAGTTTGTATGATAAAGCCATGTCCCAGATCAAGTTGGAATCATTCTGGGCAAACTCCTTCAGTAGCAATTTTGAAAAATCAAACTGTGGACTCTGGGAAGACATGAGCTTGCATTGGAACAGCTGTGCCAACTACTTTACCCTAGCTCTGGCTGATTTTTTTCTCTCGGGTTTATACAGGGCTGGCTGGGTTTGTCAGGCAAGAAAATCTCTTTTCCTAGTAGAGGAAAGGAAAGACCTTGGTGTTTATGTTAAATTCTATGTTAAAAAAATTTTTCCTGAGTTGTTACTCCTGAATATGTGAAGCCATATGAAAGTAAATGAAAAAAACTCTGTAAAATACATACATATGAAAGTGTTGTACGGAAGACAGAACCTCTGTGGAGGGAAGGAGAAAAGAACTTTTTTTTTTTGCATATACCAAAGTATTTTCCATTTGAGGAGTCCATGCTTATTCCAAAGCCTGGGCTCCTGTGTGTTAACTCTCCTTTCCACGGTCCAGGCAACATCTTGTAGCACATTTGTATTTAGTAGGAAATCAACACTATTACTGGTATTTGCCCATGTCCAGGGGTTAAGTAAGTGTAGACCAGGCCTGGGCAATAGCTGAAAGGCTTATAGTTCAGACAGGCTCCAGCTGGTAAAGCCCTGAGGTTCAGGAAGCTCAGCCATTGCTCACATTCAGTTTGAAAATTACCACAGAGCCACAGCATAAGATACAGCCTACTGTACCCCCGTGTGGGTACAAACAGTATAGGGGTATTGAGACTAGTATGCATACGTGTCTGTCAGGGCCCCCCCCCCCCTTAATCTTCTAAATATATCAGCTTCTTGCTTACCTCTGCTCATCCTATTACTTCCAATCTTTTTTCTTTGCCCCAAATGGCTGTTCATCATTTAGACTTCCACTCCAGTGGTACCTGCCCATTTCCTGACCATTCCTCTCTCAGTTAGAGTTAACTGCTGCTTTCTCAGTGCCCGAAGACTGTTTAATGTAGCAATCAAAGATTTGCCTGCCATCTGACAGTTTACAAAAAAGGCTTTCACAGTGATGACTTCATATGATCATCACAAGAACTGTAAGTTAAAAATAATAACTCATGTTTATTGAATATAACTTTTCCTGTATTTGTAATCCTCAACAACAGTTTCATGTTGCAGATGAAGAAGTTGAGGCACAGAGATGTTAAATAACTTGTCTAAGGTCACATAGTAACTGATAGAGCTGGGCTCTGAACTCAACCATCTGATTCCTGACCCATCCTCAACCAGTACTAAGGGTTATTTATTTTCTCCATTGTACAGAAGAAAAACTAGGAGTTTCTCACAGCCTCTCACTGTCTCTGGTGATTACTGAAAAGCAGAAGTCAGGGCACAGAAGCCAGTGATACAAAGGCACAGAGGGGTCTGTTTTGATCCTTACTGTATCATTTGAGTAGGGAGAGACAGGTAAGCACCAAAATAAATTTGACCCCCATGATTATCTGGCCAAGGTGAGGAATAATGAAGGTAACTGTAGCTGGGATAGTCAGCACATTTTAGTACCAGGCACCATGTCAAACATTTTGTTTCCTTTTGAGAAAACAAGCCCACAGAAATGAAATAATGAGGACAGTCTTGCTGCAAATTTTCCTTCTGGGTCCTGCCCCTTAAGGCATTCATCTCCCATGCACAAGGTTAATTGAGGTCATTCACCAACAAATCTTGGGAGGCGCTTCTCCCTGAAGGCTGCCATGCCTTCCAGTCGGTCCCGGGTTGGGATATTCTGCAACAACATACAGAATATTAGTTTTGGGAGAACAGGGCCAGAGACCAAAAGAGACGTGCTCAAGTTTGGCCAGCTCATGACAAAGAAGGTCCAAGCATTTCCATGGGCTCTGGACTCTAGTCTTGGGTCACTGCAAAAATATGGACTTAAGTGGCTCTTTTATATCCTGGAGAAGCCAGGCCTATGTCTCTAGCATCCCTGCCTTGTCACCATTAGCCTCTACTTGCAGTCTGCCTGCGTGCCCCCAAAGAGTTCATTACTCAAAGCAGTTTGATCAGAGGCTGCTCAGTAAAAAAGGAAGATTAGTTTTTGGAGTTAGAAATCTGGGTTTGAATCCTGGTGTATAGCTTATTTATACTGTTGTTGTTGTTGTTATTTGCCATCGAGTCGGCCCCGACTCATAGTGACCCCTCCTTGGGTTTCCGAGGCAGTATCACTACGGAAGTAGGATTGCCCAATCTTCCTTCGGAGGAGTGGCTAGATTCTCTTAAGTCCCATGACCCCTTACATAGGAGTATTTTGGATATTTATTAATCCATAGGGGTTAGCGTTTTTGACTCACTCGGAAGACTTAAGCTGAAGAGGTAATGTTTACAGTCCCACCAGTGAACACATTCAGCCTGTAGGCTATAACCAAGGCTTTGACAGTCCAACTCCATCCCGGCCTTCACAGCAGCCACTAGGGTAAAGACAGCAAAACCTGTTCTTCCTCCTTGTCAAGTACTTGTGTGTTCTGTGATTCTCTGGGGATGTACTACTATTCAGTGGTTGAGGAGACAGTTCCAGAGAGAAGTAGTTCCCCTCAGGCCATTCCAGGTTATTTGTGAGAAGACAGTGGTATAGAGTCAGAGACTTTTAGGTTGGGGGGGACCCAATACCCCCCACTCTGGCCCAGCCTCTGCTAACAAGCATGCATAGACTGGTAGCAGCCACATACCTGGGCATAGCACATCCCTTCAATGGCCATCCCTGAAGCAATGTCAACCTGTAATAAAGAAGTAGTCCCTTGATCAGCTTGACCTTGCCAACCTCCATCCCCACTGGGAACCAGCTCAGTATTACTGCAGTGCAATTGATGTGAAGGAATGGACCAACTCCATCTAAGGCATCCTAAGGTCTTATTACCACTGGCACAGACCCAAGAATATGGGCCCAGAACCACAAAGACCTGGGTATAACTCATTTCCTATTTGACTTTGTGCAAGTCATTTACCCTTTCTGAACCTTAATTTCCTTCTCTCTCGAAGAGAAATGAGAATAAAATGTAATTAGTATAAGGAATACCATGTAGCCAAACTTCCATTTTGTAGGTAGGTAAACTGAGGTATGAGAGTCCCTAGGTGGTACAACTAGTCAACACATTCGGCTACTAACTGAAAGGTTCGTGATCCCTCCAAAAATCAGCCACTGAAAACCCTATGGATCACACACAGTTCTACTGTGACAGATGGGGTTGCCATCTGTTGGATCCGACAAGACAGCTACTGCTTTTTTTTTTTTTTAAAAACTGCGACACAGAGAGGTTATCCTAGAAGGTTGTCAAGAGTCCAGTTCCTGTTTGTGAGACAGAGTTCTTTACAGCTGCACTGAAAACACCACATCCCAGCTACCCACCTGACTTTGGTGGACCCAAGTCCTGACCTAGAACCCTCTCACCTCCATTCCTCGATCAATGGCCACTTTGCCCAGCCGCACAGCAACAGGGGCCTAAGGAAAAGAAGAACTCGGTTGGTAAGAGACTCAGTGCTGCTGGTAAGTTGTTGTTACATGCTGTCGAGTTGGCCCCGACTCAGCGACCCCTCCTTGGGTTTCCAAGGCAGTATCACTACAGAAGTAGATTGCACAACCTTCCTTCCAAAGAGTAGCTGGTGGGTTTGAACCACCAGCCTTCTGGTTAGCAGTCAAGTGCCTTAAGTCACTACAGTTAGAGGGCTTGAACTAGAGAAAGGTATATAGCTCGGTTATGGGGTAAGAGTTTTGGAAAGGGAGGCAGAGATCTGGGTCTAGTACCAGCTACTTTACTGACATGTTGTGTTCAGTTAGTGTTTCCCCTACTGCTTCTCAGTTGAGGCTCCTTTTCTGGAATGAAGGAAGCCAGACTGATCTCTGACCCTCCCAGTCCTGACCATCTGGAGTTCCTGTCATTCAGTCCATCCCTCCAACGTGTACAACATACAACAGTTTACAAAGTACTTTCCCACCCAGAGTCTCATCTAATGGTGCTACCCATATTCTAGTCTTTAATCACCTATTTTATAGATAGGAAATTGAGCTCAGATTGGTGAAGTGTTTGGCTGTATTTATCCTGTGAGTCAGTGGTGAAGCCTGGATTTGGTCACATTCATCTGCTGCCCCCTTCCCTTACCCGCCTCCAAGACCCAACCCTTGTCTCAGTAAATGCACGCCTCCATTGCAAGCAGATTTCACCCCAGTAGGGTAAAATTGCCTAAGGCACTTGACTGCTAACCTCAGAAGGAAGGTTGGGCAATCTACTTCCATAGTGATACTGCATAGGAAACCCAAGGAGGGGTTGCAATGAGTCGGGTCCAACTCAATGGCACATAACAACAACAACAGGGTAAAAATGATAATAAAGTTTAGGAACTTGGGCTTTGGTGGCTGACTGGCCTGGATTGAAATTCCAGTAGGGGCAAGTTGATAGCCACATGGAAGCAATGCATCACAATGGCTGTTTAAAATCTTAAATCATTGATCTTTGCCTCCAGGTAACCTGTGCCACAGCAGCCCTCACGCTGCATCCCAACCCTACTCTCACCCAGGCAAGAAAAGCATTTATGTCCTATATTGTTCATATAGTGTTTATAAATAGGACTGTGCCAGAAAAAGAATGATTTTTAAAGTCTGTTAGCATAGAAGCCGTAAATGAAAAAACTAGCTACATAAACATGAAGAACTTCAGACTGGAAAAAGTGCCACAAATAAAAAGGCAAAGCAAAAATGGAAAAAAAAAAAAAAATGCAGTTCTTCTGACTAATTCTGATTTATGAAAACCTGATGTAAATTAATTTTTTTTAAAAAATCACAAAAGATATGAAGGATGCTCAGTTTTACTATCAATGAAGAGAGAGGTGTCTTTTCACCTCAAAGTGGCAAAAATTTAAAATGTTGGTAATCACCACCACTTGCTGAGGTTTGTGGAAGCAGATACCTGCATACATTGCTGGTAGAAGCGTACACTGGTACAATGATTCAGGAGGGTAATTTGGCAAAAACTGGCAAAATTTTAAATGCATATGCCCTTTGATCTTGCAGCTCCATATAGGAATTTTTTTATAGATGTATTCCAAAAGTAAGCTACTATTTGTATGAAGTTCTCATTATTTTGCAAAAGCATAAAGATGGAAATAACATAAATGTTCTTAATGACATATGCATACCTTGAATGAAAAAGTTTACAGCTGTTTCAAAGAATGAAATTGATCAGTTTGTGCTGAAATGCAAAAATCTCCAAAAGGTAGTAGGTGAAAAAAAGCAAGATGCATGCTAGTATGCATATTATATGATTCTATTTGTTTAAAGTGTGTTGATAAATGAGGGTTTTTCCCCCCTCTAGAAGGATATGTAACAACTTGACAGTGGTTGATTCTCTTGGGAGAGGGTCAGAGAAAAGAGACCTTCACTTTTTGTTTTCTATTCTTTGAATTCTTGATTACACTATTTTAATGTTTTTTTTTTTTAAGTTTTAAATGGCTTTTATAAGTAGCTTAGCCTCTAAAAGTGTGTTCCTTGTCCCCTAAACCTTTATTAAGAGGAACTTCATTATTTAAGTATATTGGTATACATGTATAATATATATGCAATGGAAATTTCTGAAAATATGCCAGCTATTAATAGTGGTCATCTCTGGGGAGAGAGATTGGTGAATGAAGGCCAGCAGGGTGGCCAACTGTCTTGGATTGCCTGTGATTATGGTGGTTATTGGGAGATAGGACTTTCATGCCATTCTTTGTCTTCTGTTTGATTTGCTTTCCATGAATAGGTATTATTATTACTATAGGTAAGTATTTAACAAAAAAAATTGATTTTCATCAAAAAAGTAAAAACACACGCACATGTTTCCAAATTTTGGAGGTATACATAAGTATATATGCGTGCAACTGATAATTTCCCATATCACTTGGAACTGAAAACAGCTCACACTGAGTACAGCATGTTCCATCCCTTTAGTGTTCAAATAGGAAAACAGTCAAAGGGAAAGGTATATTTACTATTTAAGTGGGGAAATTGGAGTATTGAGATGTAGACCTTGGGTATACCAATAATCCCTTCTGAGCTGAGTAGGCCGGGGTACCATTTGACTCCTTGGTTTGGGTGCTTTGTCCACTAGATAGTGACCTTCTACTATGCCATCCCTCATGCTTACATAATCCCAAACCCTCTTCATCCTGAGCACCCATAACACAGCTGGAAGTTAAAGATTGGGTTTTTAGGTTGCATTAGAAGGTCCCAGCTGCAGGATTAATGACTATCCTACTAGTTTTGGATATGCTGATGTTTTAGTATACAAATATACTTTCAAGTACTGAAGTACCAGTAATTCTATTAGAATACCTTTACTTTAGAATATCTGAAAACCTGAATCATCTTGAGATCAAGCTTAACTATCCAGTACTCAATTTATGCAAAAAGACAAATCCCACAGTTAACAAGTCTAGCTTAAATAGGTCCCCTCTGTGGAAGTTGCATTAATTGACTGTATTAGTTCAGAGACTTTCTGAACAAGTGTAATATAAATCTGGTAATAGTCAGTTTACTCAGGTGATGGCTTCAGACTCTCCATTTTTATGTAATGAAATAATAAAAATTTCTTTTAAACCAAACTCATTATCAATTTGAAAAAGTTATAGTCCCTGTACCCCCCCAAATTAAAGAAATTATCAAAAGAAGTGAAGTTATTTATTTGAAGGAGACCTAAAAGAAACTTTATTTAAAAAAAATAAAATACATTTTCATGATTAATTCAAATTAATTTTGTTAATAATATTAGAGTAATAAATGGTGAAAATTTCTATAAGCTTATATTTTAACTTTGTATGATATAGATGAGCAGGTTCCTTAACTCTTCTGAATCCGTTTCCTTATAGATATAACGGGTAATCAACTCAACTGGGTTGAGATGCTCTATTACCATGGATGAGAAGGTGCTAAGTAAGGGCTAAGATTTATTAGTTACTCAAAACTAGCTCCATTTAGCTGCTTTCATATCTGGACCTATATAGGGCCTTCGAGACCCCATCCAGCCAGATCCTGGATGACCCCTCTTAAAAGCTTTCATCCCTGATGGCTTGTAGGATGTAGCAGACCAGGGCCTGAACCTACTCCCTGGCAAGCATTTGTAGACCTTTTGGGGGGGTTATGATTAGGGGCTGTTTGAGGATTTCAAAAAATTAATGAGTCTTAAAACATGTCCTATATGATGTTGTATTTCAAGAATTTCTCTGTTATACAGCATAGTAGGAATGCTGGCCTGATAGTCCTATGTCTGCTTTAGAATCTTTTGCTTTTTCACAGGCTTTGGGTTTAAGGCTTCTTACTGTTCAGTAATGTAGCCACTAGCCACATACAGCTATTAAGCACTTGAAATGTGGCTAGAACAACTGGAAACTGAATTTTTTACTTTACTTAATTTTAATTAAGTAAATGTGTGGCTACCATACTGCACAGCACAAATACAGCACATTCTATTATCACAGAAAGTTCTGTTGGACAGGGCTTTTCAAACTCATTTTCCAGTTCCTCAGAATTCAATATTCATTTCCATTCAAAATTAAATTTCAGTCTTGCTTACTGGATAGCTGAATGGATGCAAAAGCTCTAAAGAAGGTTAATTTTCTATTTCTGTGGGTGAAGGATCTCTGGTGCGACAGTGGTTAAGGCATTTGGCTGCTAACACAAAGTTGGAGGTTTAAACCCACCAGCCTCTCCGTGAGAGGAAGATGAGGCAGTCTAACTCCATAAAGATTTAGAGCCTTGCAAACCCTATGTGACAGTTCTACTCTATCATACAGGGTTGCTCTGAGTCAGAGTTTAACTCGATAGCAGTGGGTTTGGTTTTTTAGATGAATGCACCATACAGAACACCCCGACTCCTTGGACTCCTCGCATGTGCCTCCTGCTCATGACACAGGCCCTCCCCCTTGGTGCTGAGCTGCCACCGCACCTGGGGCAGGATCTCCTGGGCCAGTGCTCGTGCCCGGTGGTAGGCTGCATTGCCTTCTTCATTCTGGGCCACAGAGTGGTTCACCAACCCCAGCGCCTGGGCCTCCGCCCCACTTAGTCGGCGGCCAGTGAAGATGAGCTCCTTCGCCAGTGCCACCCCCAGGCAGCGGGGCAGCCGCTGGGTCCCTCCTGCCAGGATGGGGCATCAGGGGTGGGAGATCAGCATGGGGAGTATGAACTTGGACAAGGCCCATGCTGCAAGTCAGCCAAGACTCTCAGAGGAGCAGATTTCAGAGTTAAAATGGGAGGGTGGGATCCAGGACACAGTACCCTGGACAGAGTGAAATTGGGCAGGGAGAGGAGAAAGGAAGGATACAGTGGGTAAGGTTACCTGCCCCTGGGAGGAGCCCTCGGGTAGTCTCGATCAGCCCCATGACAGCCGAAGAAGCTGGTTAAACAGAACAGAGTGAAGACCCCACCCACCCTGTCCTCCAGGGCCAGTTCCTGGGGGGAAGGATCCACCCACTACTGGTCAACCCTGCCCCTGTAGCCACTTTTCTTCAGGGAGGCCCAGGTTTTCACTTCACCTCCCTTAGCTGACAGAGGTGTATGTTATCAGGCAGATCGTGACTTTTCTGAGCCTCACAGGTAGAAAGAAGACAAACCCCTCCTCTGCCTACTTCAGAGATCTCCTAAGGATCAAATGAGATATAATAGTACTTGCAAAATGGAAAGGGTTCCTTCTAGCAACTCTAATAACCACTTGTGGGTTGATTCTCTGTCACATGTACCGCTGGCTGTGGCCTGGCCTAGAGTGTCAATGATGTTTGTTCCATCATGGTTCTCTCTCCCAGCTTTTTACCTCAGCCTAAAATTTCCATGTTCCAGTCCACATTCTACTTCCTCAAAAAGGGCTTCCTTAACTGCCCCACCCCTACAGACCTCTTTTCTAGATTCCCTCAACACAGACCATCTGAACCATGCAATGTGAACAGAAGGGAACAACCATTACTACCACTTAGGGGAGGTTTCACTCACTGATCTCTTAGTCCTTACTAACACCCTAAGAATTAGTTTGCTGAAATACAGGAAGGTGAGAAGCACAGTGGGGGCTGAGACCTAGCCTGCAAAGTTGGGGCCTGGTCACATGGTTAATTCAATTTTCTCTTGATGTATGTTGTGTAAACAGAAGCTACCTCCATGCCTAGAATTGCTTATCTTCAAATGTCCTTTCTAGGGTGGCAGTAGAAAGCACCTCCCTCTACTCTGCAAACACAGCCCAATTGCCCTGTACAAATAATGCTAACCTTAGCTGGTACCAATGAACCAGAGAACAATGATCCTACTCAGGCTAGGTAGGACACAAACAGTTCCCGTGGCTCACCTTTGACCAAGATATGATAGATAAAGCCACTTACTGGAAAGCTGAACAACTGATCTTTGTCCTCCTTGACCTTTCCTCTCTGTGCTTTTTTTTTTTTTTTTTTTTTGCCATCCTATTAGCAATTGCTCTGAGGTTGGGGAATCATCCCGGAGATGAGGGAAGCAGGTACTGAGAGGTGATGGGGGTACTATAGCAATCAGTGGCCTGGCCAGGCCAGGAAGGAACCAGCTTCTGCCTGAGCACCCTCTATGTCCTCACCCTGCCTCCAGTTTTTTTCTTGGTTAAAAGAGCAGTAGCTAACTTTGCATAGCCCCCAGACTTACACCTCCCAGCCAACCTCACCCCATTTGTGGTACCTGCCACTCGGAGGTCACAAGCCAGGGCCAGCTCCAGGCCCCCACCCAAGGCAAACCCATCCATAGCTGCAATGGTGGGTGTAGGAAAGGCTGCTGTGGAGACAAAGAAGGACTCAGCCTGCCGGATCCTGGCAGAACCACGACAGGGACTTAAGGTTGGGAAGGGCATTCTTGTTGGGACAGAAGGCCTCACTGGTCCCAGGTTTGGGGACCTGACCTGGTAACTCCACCAGGTTATGTTAGCAGTCAGTTTTCCCATCAGAGAAAGGATCAGCTGTAGAACAGGAATGGGAAGACAAGCTGGAATGATCCCTGCTAAAGCTTCCTCTCCTAATGGCCTCCCTTGGGACCTGCCTTTCTTTTCTCTCCCTTCTGTGTGCAGGCCCTGTCCCAGGTCCTGGGAACTTAGAACTGAACTAGACATATGGCCCTTGCCCCCACAGGGCTCACTCAGTCTTATAGGCAAGGCAGACCTGTAAATAAGCAATGATGACCCAGAGCTATCAGTGCTGTGATAAAAGAAGTTTGGAGGGTGGGTCAAGGAAGGCTTTCTTTCTGGAGGAGAAACCACTAGAGGCCTTGCAAGATGAGTAAAAGTTCAGGTAGCCAAGAAAGGGTGCCCCAGGCAAAGGGAACAGCCTTTGTCGAAACCTGAAAGCATGCTTGGTAAACCTTGGCTCCTCTGAAGGCAAGTCTTACGGCCTGAGGACAGGTGGGTCAGACCAAGCAGCACACACAGGTTGAGGAGTCAGTGCTCCTTCTCTGGAAGAAATGGCCTCTGCACCTTTTTTATCACCAACCCCCTTGTAGAAGTCTTTGTGCCCATCCTCCCTGGGAGTCATCTGTATCCCCACAGAACTCACAATATAAAAGGTCTCTCTTTACCATGGAGGATGAGCAAAGAAAAAAAGGGACAAACTTAGGGTTCCTAATTCAGGAACATAAATACACCATCATACATAAAATGCACAAACGCCAGAAGACAAAATAGATGACTGGGACCACCTAAACATTAAACAGCTGTGCACCTCAAAAGATTTCACCAACAGAGTAAAAAGAATGATAGACCGAGATAAATGTTTGGCAACAACCTACTGGACAAGGGGCTGATCTCTAAAATTTATAGAAAACTTGAATAACTTAACAAAAAAATAAATAGTCCAATTAAAAAATGGGCAGAAGACACGAATAGACACATCACCAAAGAAGACATGGAGGCTGCTAACAAACACAAAGAAATGCTCTTGGTCACTACCCATTCGAAACAAAAAAAAAAAAAAAACATTGCCATTGAGTTGATTCCAACTTACAGCGACCCCCATTGGGTTTCCAAGGTGTTAAATCTTTATGGAAATAGACTGCCCAGTCTCCCTTCCACGGAGTGGCTGGCCATTAGAGAGATGCAAATCAAAACAATGAGGTAACTTCTCACCCTTACACTAATTTGTTGTTGTTACATGCCTTGAGTCAGCCCAGACTCATGGCGACCCCTCCTTGGGTTTCCGACCCCTCCTTGGGTTTCCGAGGCAGTATCACTACGGAAGTAGATTGCCCAACCTTCCTTCTGAGGAGTGGCTGATGGGTTTGAACCGCCAGCCTCTGGTTAGCAGTCGAGTGCCTTAGGCACTATGCTACCAGAGCTCCTCCAGTTCTTACTAATAGCAGAGTTAAAAAAAAAAAATTCTGGCGAGAGTGTGAAGAGACTAGACCCCTCATACACTGCTGGTGGGACTGAACGTAAAATGGTACAACCACTGTGGAAAACGATATGGCGTTTTTCTTTAAAAAAAAAAAAATGCTGGAAATAGAAATACCATTTGAACCAGCAATTCCACTACTAGGTATATATCCTAGAGAAATAAGAGACGAATAGATACATGCACACCCATGTTCATCACAGTATTATTCACAATAACAAAAAGATGGAAACGATCTAAATGCCCATCAACAGGAAATGAATCAACAGACTACGGTACATACAAACAATGTAATACTATGCAACGTTAAAGAACAATGATGAATTTGCACAACATCTCGTAACACAGATGAACTTAGAGGCCATTATGCTGAGTGAAATTGGTCAGTCACAAAAGGACAAACAGTATATGAGACCACTGTTGTAAAAAGTCAAGAAAAGGGTTTCACATAAAAGGAAATCTCTTTGATAGTCACCAGGGGGTGGGGAAAGCAGGGTAAAATCACTAACTAGAGAGGAGACACTAACTTGGGTGAAAAGGAAGGTTTAAAAAAAAAAAAAGTTTAAAGTGGAGGATGGGGGTAGGGTGGAGCTAGGATTGGCAGCAACGCCCTCCCACATGCCACCCCAGTGCCCTCACCAATGTCATTCATCAGGCCTCGGAGCCTCTGGACAAAGACCTCCACCTCTGCCTCACTCATCTGCTCCCGTTCCTTCAGGTCTGCACCTGCAGATGTTCAGGGGATTATGACAGTTCTTGGGAAATGACTGGCTGCCAAATCCTAGGCTGTTAAAGGATCCAGCAAAACAGACTTGAGGAACAGCCAGAGAGGAAGGAGAAACACAGGAAAGAGAGGACAAGGAAGCAGAAGAAAAAGGTCAAAAAGGGAGAGAACCGTGGGGTCTGAGAAGGCTGAGAGGTCACACAAAACAAGAATTGAGATGTAGTGTCATAGAGGGGGACAAAGACGTTGAGGAGAGGAGTGACCATGGTAGGGTTGCTGGAAGGCCAGATGGCAGGGGTTGGGGCAAGAGTAGAGGGTGAGTGTGGACTCTCCAAATCCTAGAATTTAGGTCAGAACTGAGAGAGAGTTTGGAAGTCTGATTTGTTCCAGCCTGTTCAGTGTCAGGGGGAAACAGACCCAGAGAGGGCCAGAGACTAGCCTAGAATTCTAGAGCAAGTTAAGGGCAGGTCCAGGCCTCCAACAGCCACCCTCCTTCCCTGGAATGAGGAATAGCAAGGAGTGGGTCTTATAAGGGACATGAAGTTGCCTTGACAGAGGAAGGTTAGACAGAGATGGAACCTCTAACTAGAGGCCAGGGCGGGTGAGGCCCTCAGCCAGGGCAGCTGGGTCAGGCCCCTGGTCTCCTCACTTGTACTGTCAGAACAGATCCCAAACTGGGCACCCTAATCCTGACAGCTTTGAATCACATTCCTTCCATCCCCTCACAGGCTCCTCCCACCTCTCTAGAAACCCTTGTGCCTCCTCCCCAACCATGTACCCGGGGTCTAGCTCAGCTCTAATGAACTTGTTTCATGTTACTGCCTTAGGATGAGGTATTTCCTATCTTTGAAACAGAGTTCATGGTGCTTGTCCTTTGTGAGGACCAATGACTCAAGGATAGAGGAGAGCTCTGGCAGTAGAGACTGAGGTCCTGAGAGTGGGCATGGAGTCCCATCTTGACCACTGACCTTGTGGGCCTCTTTGGACTCAGTTTCCTCAAGGCTGAATGAAGGATCAGAATAGATCATGATGTAGTGGAAAGAACTACAAGGATGTGAGGATTATGTTGGCCAAGTTCACATTCTGATCTACCTTGCACTAACTCTGTGATCCTGGGCAAATAATCTTACCTCTCTGAGTCTTTGATTTCATATCTGTAAAATGGGAATAATGAGTCCTATCCTGGAACTGGAGGAGCTCTGGTAGCATAGTGGCTAAGGCACTTGACTGCTAACCAGAAGGCTGGCGGTTCAAACACACCAGCCACTCCTCGGAAGGAAGGTTGGGCAATCCTACTTCCGTAGTGATACTGCCTCGGAAACCCAAGGAGGGGTCGCTATGAGTCGGGGCCGACTCGACGGCACATAACAACAACAACAACATCCTGGAACTGACCTAAAAGGGCTCCCCCTGCCCCTGCAGGATGGTGGGCCTGGCAGAGCCTAGGAGAGGGGGAGGAGGGAGGGTACCCACCTGCACAGAACACACCCTTCACGCCACTTCTGAAGAGCAAGACACGCACCTGTTGGTCCTGCCGCAGACAGGCCAGAGCTTCCAGCAGCTGGATGGGAGACTCTTCTCAGATCCTGCCAGTCCTGCACTGTCCCACCCTGGTGCCTACCTTCTCTTACCTCACCGACCAAGACATTCCCCAGGGCATTTCGGGCTCGTGGTCTGTTCATCAGAATCTCAGTGATTCCTGTGGGGGAGAACACAGCCTTGAGTGTGCCAGCCAGCCCTGCTTACTCCTGCACTGGGGCCAGGAGGCAGAAGGCCAGGGTTGGGACAGCCTCTGCCCTTCATGAGCAGTGTGACTTGGGGCCCATCACATCCCCCTTGGCCTCAATTTTCCATTTTGCTGCTTGCAAACTCATGAGGCAGGTTGGCATGGTCCTCTGTCAGGAAACTGATGACTGAATCCATTAGGCTCAAGGCTCAGACAGACTCATGTTCTGTCCTTTCACCCGGAAAAGCCAAGTGTCTTGAAAAAGTTTTATTTACTTGTTTAGTCATTTGCTTCACTTTAAACCTCCAATCTAGCTTCCACCCCCATCATTCATCAGCAAATGTTCTCACCAAAGTGACCAATGGTACAATAACCACTAAGCAAGGGCCCTGTTTCCACCCTCATCCCAGCCTCTCAGCAGCAATCAGCACTGCTGACCACATGCACGCTGCTCTCGAACATTCTCTACCTTGGCTTTTGTGGCCCTATGTTCTCCTGGCCTTCCTCCTACTTCTCAGGTGACACTTCTGCACTCCTTTCTTGGGTTCTCTTCCACCCAATTTTTTAAATGCTGAAATTCCTCAAGGCCCAATCCAGGCTCTCTTTACTCATTTATTTGTAGACAGACGTACATATTTAGCACATGGGGGCCTTTGTACTAGACAGTGAGATTCCACAGATCAGGGCAGACCCAGCCGGTGTCCTCAGAGAGCCTACACTCTTAACAGGGATAATAGACATAAACAAATCATTATTTGTGGTGAGAATATGGAGAAAAAGGACCAGGAGTTAAGGGGATATAAAATGGGCAGGGGTGGGGCAGTGCTCGATCAGTGGTAGAATTCTTACCAACACACCTCATGTGCAGCCACCACCCAGCTGTCAGCGGAAGCCTGTATGTTGCTAGGATGCTGAGCAGGTTTCAGCAGAGCTTTCAGACTTAAGACAGACTAGGAAGAAAGGTCTGGTGATCTGCTTCTGAAAACCAGTCACTGAAAATCCTATGGATCATGGTGGTCTGATTCATAACCGATCATGGGGATGGTGCAGGACCAGGCAGCATTTAGTGCTATGGGGCATGAGCCACCAGAGTCAGGGGCTAGCGAGATGGCAGCTCACAGCAATGTAACAGGCAGAGGAAGATCCTAGTGTGGGAGGTGTGTGGCAACTTCCTGGAGGAAGAAGTGACGTTTAAGCTGAGAACAGGGATGAGTAGGCATTGGGAGGCAGAGTGTGAGTGTATGTGTGTGTGTGTGTGTGTTGGGGGTGAGCGGAGGGGTCAGGCAGAGAAGCCCGGTTCAGGCAGAGGGAGCAGCCCAGATGAGGACTGTGAGTGTTGCAGAGCAGGTGGGTGCCTTACGGAACTTGAAGCAGAGAACAGTGTGAGACCAGGCAGGAAAATCAGAAGGGGCCTGTGCTTGCTGATCTACCCCTTCTCAGAACCCTCCCACACCCACTTGCTTCCTGTACACCCATGACTTCCCCGCATCCTGGCCAGCCTAAAGCTTTCCTCAGTGATCCAGGCCTGCATAGCCACCTGCCCAGTTGACATCTTGACTGACATGCTCCAAAAGGTGATAGGATGTCACTTCTGTGGTTAGATTACGCTATGTATAAGGCACCATCTTGCTAGTACACACTAGAGAAACTCTCCCTCCATTGCTCCCTTTCAAAAATTATGCTGCTATGTTGTGAGAGAATCTTTAGAGAGGACCACCTAGCACAGAACTGGGGATGGCCTCTGGAAGTTCAGAATAGCCCCCGCCAACAGTTAGCAAGAAAACACCTCAGTCCTACAACCACAAGTAGATGAATTCTGCCAACAACCTGAGGGGCTTGGAAGCAGATCTTTCCTTAGTCAAGCCTTTGATGAGACCACGGCCCCAGCCAACACCTAAATGATAGCGTGGTAAGAACCTGAAGCAGAGAACCCAGCTAAGCTTTCCCCAGACTTTTGACCTACAGAAGTTGTAAGCTAATAAATGTGTGGTGTTTTAAGCAGGAAAGTTATAGTAATTTGTAATTACAGCAACAAAAAAACTAATGCAGTCATGATTTTCTGAGATTGACAGAAATTTTCCTGTTTCCTCTTGTCTTTCTTTTCTCACTGAATAACTCTCTTTAATCTTTTTTCCTCCTTTTATCTCCCTCTAGCAGAATAAACCACTCAAAATTGAACCCACTGCTGTTGAGTCAATTCTTTTTCTTTGTAAGCTTCAGTGTACTTAACTTCCTTGAGCCATTTGCTTTTTCCGGAATCCAAATGGTCTCCCTGTGGTAGTTAACATTGTACGTCAACTTGACTGGGCCTGGATGAGTGGCTGGGCAGCTGGATGTAGTTATTCCCCATGGTGAGATCGGTAATTAACTCCATGGTGGAATCTACTGGAGCAGCTGAGTAGCTGCTTTAGGGGTGTGGTCTGCTTCCTGTATATAAGAAGCAACTTTGAGGAAGGTCTCCAGCTGGTGGCACGCTTGAACCCTGCATGTAGCTGAGTCATTATTCAGCAGCCTCCCATGTTGCCCTGCCGATCTTAGAACTTTTAATGGACTTGAATTCATGGCCTGCTGTGTGGTTTGGTAATACCAGACCGTGCCTTTTCACTTGTCGACCCTGGGTTTGTCAGCCTCATCAGTCAGCAGCTGCCTGAGTGAAGAGATGCCTCCAGCTTCAGTGGGCCAGGAGCAAGAGGCAGAGCTGAAGCCCAAGGTCAAGGGGCTTTCACCCAGCCCCTAGAGCCTGGCACCTGGAATTCAGATTTCCTTCGGAAGGAAGGTTGGGCAATCTACTTCCGTAGTGATACTGCCTTGAAAACCCAAGGAGGGGCCGCTATGAGTCGGAGCCGACTCGATGGCACATAACAACAACCACCACCTCCAAAATTGTAAGAGAATAAGCTCCTGTTTGTTCAAGCAGCCCATCTGTGGTATATTCCTGTCAGAGCTGCACAAAACACTCCCTATATGGATACAGAGTAACTATTGAAAGTAAACCTATGTTTAAATTTCATTCAGTTTTGATTATTTTTAACAACTGAAAAGGGCAATATTGACCAGTGGTTAAGTACACAGGCTTTGAAATCAGAACTGGTTCAAATCCTGACTCTGCCACTTACTAACTGTGGGTTTTGGGTCAAATTACTTAACTTCTTTGTGCCTCAGTTTCCTAGTAAAGTCAGGAGAATGATAGCTTTCTCAGTGTGAGTGCTGTTGAAATTGGCAGCAAACTAAGTATGAGGGTATGGGATGTTATTTAAGGCCCAGTAATCCCACATGTCTGATAAATTACTGGAAAACTTTATGAATAACCATGAAACACTGACATAATGCCAGAAGATGAGCCCCTCAGGTCAGAAGGCAGTCAAAATATGTCTGGGGAAAAGCTGCCTCCTCAAAGTAGAGTTCCATGACATGAATGGAGTAAAGCTTTCAGGACCTTCATTTACTGATGGGGCATGACTCAAAATGGGAGAAATGGCTATAAACATTCATTAACAATCAGAATGTGGAATGTACAAAGTATGAATCTAGGAAAATTGCCCAAGTTGTCAAAAATGAAATGGAATACATAAAGATCAATATCCTATAAGTCACAGACAAATATAGTATTAGTTCATTATTGTAAAAAGTCAAGGAAAGGTTTATATATGTAAGGAAACTTTCTTTATGTTAGTTACCAGGGATAGGAGCGGAAGAGAGAGAACACTGGGGAAAAAAAAAGTGCATTGACCCATGTCACTTTAGTTTTGTGTATTTCACTGTAATAAATTATATTTAAAAAAATTGATATCTTAGGCATTAGTGAGCTGAAAGGGACTGGGTATTGGCCATTTTGAATCAGACAAGCATATGGTCTACTATGCAGGGAATGACAAATTGAAGAGGAATGACTTTACATTCATTATCAAAAAGAACGTTCCAAGATCTGTCCTGAAGTACAGTGCTGTACTTCCATATGCCTAAGGAAGACCAGTTAATACAACTATTATTCAAATTTACATACCAACCACTAATGCCAAAGATGAAGAAATTGAAGATTTTTACCAACTTCTGCAGTCTGAAGTTGTTCAAACATGCAATCAAGATGTATTATTACTGGTGATTGGAATGCAAAAGTTGGAAACGAAGAATCAGTTGGAAAATATGGCACTGGTGATAGAAATAACACTATAGATCACAGGACAGAAGTTTGCAAGACCAACAACTTATTCGTTGCAAATACCTTTTACAACAACATAAATGACAGCTATACACGTAGACTTTGCCAGATGGACTACACAGAAATCAGATCAACTACATCTGTGGAAAAAGGCAATGGAGAAGTTCAATATCATCAGTCAAAAACAAGGCCAGGAGCTGACTGTGGAAGTGACCATTAACTGCTCATATGGAAGTTCAAGTTGAAGCTGAAGAAAATTAAAACAAGAGCCAAAAAATCCACCTTGACTATATCCTACTTGAATTTAGAGACCATCTGAAGCACAAATTTGATGAACTGAACACCAATGACCAAAGATAAGACGAGTTGTGCCATGACATCAAGAACATCATATATGAAGAAAACAAAAGGTCATTAAAAAGACAGGAAAAGAAAAAAAGACTAAAATGAATGTCAGAAGTGACTCTGAAACTTGGTCTTGAACATAGAATAGCTAAAGCAAATGGAAGAACTGATGAAATAAAAGAGCTGAACAGATTTTAAAGGATGGCTCAAGAAGACAAAATATTACAATGAAGTGTGCAAAGACCTGGAGTTAGAAAAACGGAAGGACACACTCAGCATTTCTCAAGCTAAAAGAACTAAAGGAAAAACTGAAAGCTCAAGTTGTAATATTGAAGGATTCTGTGGGCAAAATATTGAATGATGCAGGAAGCATCAAAAGAAGATGGGAGGTATACACAGAGTCACTGTACCAAAAAGAATTGGTTGACATTCAACTATTTAAGGAGGTAGCATATGATCAAGAACCAATGGTACTGAAGGAAGAAGTCCAAGCTGACTGCAGGAATCAGTGAAAAACAAGTCTCCAGGAACTGAAGGAATACCCACTGAAGTGTTTCAAAACATGGATGCAGCCCTAGAGGTGCTAACTCATTTATGCCAAGAAATCTGAAATACAGCTACCTGGCCAACTGACTGGAAGAGCTAGGTATATGTGCACATTCCAAGAAAGGTGATCCAACAGCATGTGGAAATTATCAAACAAGATCATTAATATCACACACAAGTAAAATATTGAAGATAATCAAAAAATGATTGACAGGGAACTTCCAGAAATTCAAGCTGGATTCAGAAGAGGATATGGATGGATCTTGGGTGAAAGCAAAGAATACCAGAAAGATAACTTGTGTCTTATTGACTATGCAAAGGCATTAGATTGTGTGGATCACAACAAATTATAGGTTACATTGAGAAGAATGGGAACTCCAGAACACTTCATTGTGCTCATGAGGACCCTGTACATAGACCAAACAGAAGAAGGGGATACTTCATGGTTTAAAATCAGGAAGGGTGTGCTTCAGGACTGTGTCCTTTCACCACACTTATTCAATCTGTATGCTGAGCAAATAATCCAAGAAGCTGCATTATATGAAGAACAACATGGTATCAGGACTGGAGGAAAACTCATTAACAACACACTATGCAGATGACACAACCTTTCTTGCTGAAAGTGAAGATGATTTGAAGCACTTCTTGATGCAGATCATAGACTACAGTCTTCCGTATGAATTACACCTCAACATAAAGAAAACAAAAATCCTCACAACTGGACCAATATGCAACATAGCAATAAATATAGAAAAGATTGAAGTTGTCAAAGATTTCATTTTACTTGGATCCAGAATAAACACCCATGGAAACAGTAGTCAAGAAATCAGATGTGATGGGGGGAAAAAAAAGTCAGACTTCTTTTTTGTTGCACTGGGGAAATCTGCTGCAAAAGACCCCTTTAACGTGTGAAGAAGCAAAGAAATCACTTTGAAGATTAAGGTTCACCTAACCCAAGCCTGGTATTTTCAGTTGCTTCAAATGCATGTGAAAGCTGGACAATGAATAAAGAAGACCGAAAAAGTGGTGTTGGTGAAGAATACTGAAAATACCATGGACTGCCAAAAGGAACAAATCTGTCCTGGAAAAAGTGCAGCCGGAATGCTCCTTGGAAGGGGAATGGCCAGACTTGGTCTCACCTACTTTGGTCTTATCAGAAGGGGCTACTCCCTAGTAAAGGATGCTTGGTAGAGGGTCAGGGAAAAAGAGGAAGATTCTTAACAAAATGGATTGACACAGTTGCTGCAAGGATGAGCTCAAGCATAGCAAGGATTGTGAGAATGGTGTAGGATGGGGGAAGTGTTTCCTTCTGCTGGAGTTGCTATGAGTCGGAGCAAACTGGACGGCACCTAACAATATAACAGCAGCACCACATGGTCACATAAATTCTCATCAGGTGGTGTAGCAGGATGCTGGAGACCACGGGCGTCCATCCAAAGTAGTGGATGCACACGAGGGAACAGTATGCAACAGCTGGAAGTACATCTTCAAAACTTGGTGTGGTGTGTGTGTGGGGGATGAATACGCTATTTATGTACCTTAAAACAACCTACATCAAATACAGGAAGAGGGTATGGGACTAGGGGGAAAGCAAAGACCAGAGAGAGGCGTCGCCCTGACCAACGATGGTTACATGCAGTAAACTGAAGACTGTAATTTAATACCACAGAAGGTACTACCTGAAATTCAAAACAACGCACAAACTGTGGGACTTTTTGCCACTGACATTTGAACTTTCCTGCTTGAATCAAAAAAAAAGAACCTCACTGCCGTAGAGTCGAGTCCGATCATAAAGACCCCTCCTTGGGTTTCTGAGGCTGTATCACTACGGAAGTAATACCGTCCTTCCCAGGAGTGGCTGGTGGGTTTGAACCGCCAGCCTTCTGGTTGGCAGTCAGTTTTGGTTAAGCACTACGCCACCGTAACTTTCGACCGTCCGCTGACCTTGCATTCCTAACGGAAAACACGTTCCTCCTGCTTCTTTCAACCCTTCACCTCCTTTCCTCTTCCCTCCCCGCCGTCTCCTGAGCGGGATTGGCTCCGCCGCCTCCGCCCCCGGGACTCTGGCGGAACCAGGGAGTGGGGGTAGTGTACACTCTTCCTCTAGGAACTCCGCCATTTTAAGTCTTATGTCTCAGTTTCGCAGGTGCCAAGTCTTTCCCCAGCGCGACTCTTCTTAGCTTCCACCAGTCGGAGGACACCAAATAGGGGATGGGGAGGCCCATATTAATATAAGGTTACATACCGATTAGGCTCGCAGCCAATAAAGTAACTCACCCACCACCAGGCCTTGTGGCAGATTTGGAAGCTGCGGTGGGGGTGAGGTGGGGCTGGGGCGGGGAAGGCAGGAAATAGGGACAGGGGATTTGGAACGAATCCTCAAACGCACTGCGCGCCCGGCTGCCCTTTCTCGGTCCGGCCCGGACCTGGCGCAGCACGCCCCAGCCACCTCCGGGTCGCTCCTCGGACAGCATACTCACCTTGGTCGGGTCCCGCCAGGGCGCGCACTTGAATCTCGGGTCCCCCGGTCGCCCCGTCGGAAGCCCATCCGCGGGCAAGAAAGGGCTTCCAGGGGCGCTGGGGCCATGGGACGCGGGGCAGGGCGCGCAGCATCCGGGTGTAGGTCGGGAAGGCGCCGTTTGGCCCCTCAGGTGCCTCCTTTCCGGCTGAAGACCTGCAACTCCGCAGGGTCTTCAAAATTGCTCCCCCTATGGGCAGACCCGCCACGCGGCTGCCTAAACCTCTTAAACCTGAGGGTAGACTGTCAACCTCTAAACGTCAGTATTTTAATCTTTAAAATGAGGATTGTAAATAGTGCCTAAAAGAGCTCTGGTGGCGCGATGGTCACACGCTCAGCTGCTAACCGAAAGGCCGTTGGTTCAAACCCACCGAAAAGGTAGCAGCACCAAAAGCTGCTAACCCAAAAGTTGGACTGGGTTCAAGGCCAGTGTACAGAGAAAAATCTGGTGATCGCCTGCCATAAAGATTACAGACCAAAAAACCGTAGGAGGCAGTTATGTTGTTAGATGCTGTCCAGTCGGTGCCAACTCAGTGAATGAGTGAATTCCAACAGAATGAAACACTGCCTGGTCCTACACTACCCTCACAGTCTTTGCTACGTTTGTGCCCATTGTTACAGTCACTATGTCAAGCCATCTCATTGAGGGTCTTACCAAGCATGATATCCTTCTCCAGGGACTGGTTCCTCCTAATAACATGTCCAAAGTAGGTGAGACAAAGTCTCATCATCCTGTTTGCTTCTGAGGAAGGGGCATTCTCCCTCTACTTCTTCCAAGACAGATTTGTTTGTTTTTCTGGCAGTACATGATGATGAAGAATAGTCTATATTCTTTGCCAACACCATTATTTAAAGGCATCAATTCCTCTTCTGTCTTCATTACTCATTATGCAGCTTTCTCAAGCATATGAGGTAACTGAAAATACCATGGCTTGGGTCAGACTCACCTTAGTCTTCAAAGTGACACCTTTACTTCTTAACACTTTAAAGAAGTCTTTGCACCAGGTTTGCCCCATGCAATATATCTGTTTGACTGCCGCTTCTATGGTTAAGGAGCTCTGGCAGTGCAGTGATTAAAGCTTTTGGCTGCTAACTAAAAGGTTGGTGTTCCAACCCACTAGCTGGCTGTTTCTCTGCAGGAGAAAGATAAAGCAGTCTGCTTCTGTAAAAATGTGCAGCCTTGGAAACCCTATGAGACAGTTCTACTGTGTCCTACAGGGTCACTGTGAATCAGAATTGACTTGATGGCAGTGGATTTGGTCTTTTGGTTTGCTTCCAGGGGTGTTGATTGTGGATCCAAGTAAAAGGAAATAATCCTTGACAATTTCAATCTTCTTTCCATTTATCATGATGTTGTTTATTGATCCAGTTGTGAAGATTTTTGTTTTCTTTCTGTTGACGTATATTCTTTGATCTTCATCAATAAGTACTTCAAGTCCTCTTCACTTTCAGAAAACAAGGTTGTGTCATTTGCATATCACAGGTTGTTAATGAATCTTCCTCCAGTCCTGATGCCACATTCTTCATATAGTCCATCTTCTTGGATAATCTGCTCAACATACAAATTGAATAAGTGTGGTGAAAGGATACAACCCTGGTACACACCCTTCCCGATTTTAAACCATGCAGTATCCCCTTGTTCTGTTTGAATAACTACCTTTTGTTCTATGTACAGGTTCCTCATGAGCACAATTAAGTCTTCTGGAATTCCCATTCTTGGCAATGATATCCATAATTTGTTATGATCCACACAGTCGAAGTCATTTGCATAGTGAATAAAACACAAACATCTTTCTAGTATTCTCTGTTTTTAGTTGGGATCCACCTGATATCAGTACTAATATCCATCGTTTCACATCCTGTTCTGAACACGCCTTGAATTTCTGACAATTCCCTGTTGGTGTACTGCTGTAACCATTTTGAATTACCTTCAGCAAAATTTTACTTGTGTGGTTGGGCAATCTACTTCCACAGTGATACTGCCTCGGAAACCGAAGGAGGGAGTCGCTGTGAGTCAGATCTGACTCGATGGCAGTGCATTGCATTTTTGCATTGTGCTGTTGATAATAGTGTTCACTAATTTCCACATTCTATTGGATCACTTTTCTTTGGAATGGGCACAAATAGGGATCTCTTCCAGTCGGCTGGCCAGGTAGCTATCTTCCAAATTTCTCAGCATACACAAGTGAGTGCTTCTGGTGTTGCATCTGTTTGTTGAAACATCTCAATGGGTATTCCGTCAATTCCTGGGGCCTTGTTTTCTGCCAATTCCTTCAGCGTAGCTTGGATTTCTTTCTTCAATACCATCGGTTCTTGATCCTATGCTACCTCCTGAAATGGCTGTCGATGAATTCTTTTTGGTATGATGACTCTGTGTATTGTGTCCATCTTCTTTTGGTATTTCCTGTGTTATCCAGTATGCAGCATGAATTACATCTCAATATAAAGATAACAAAAATCCTCACAACTGGACCAATGAGCAGCATCACAATAAATGGAGAGAAGATTGAGGTTGTCAAAGAATTCACGTTGCTTGGTTCTACAATCG